ACAGAACCAGAACCAGAAACAGAACCAGAAATAGTAACAGAAACGGTGACAGAAATAAAAACACAAACAGAAACAGAACAAAAAACAAAAAGGAAAAAAAACTAGAAATAGAAATAGAGACAGCCACAGAAACAAATAAGAAACAGAAAAAAAACAGGAACAGAAACAGAAACAGAATAGGAAACAGAACCAGAAACATGAACAGAACCAGAAACAGAAAATAAAATAGAATAATAAACATAAACAGAAACAGAAGCAAAAACAGAAATAGAAACAGAGACAGAACCAGAACCAGAAAGAGAAACAGTACGAGAAACAGAACGAGAAAGAGAACGAGAATCAGAAAAAGGAACAAAAACCAGAACCAGAAACAGAGTCAGAATCAAAAACAGAAACAGAAACAGAAACAAAAACTGAAAAAGAAATAGAAAGAGCAAAAAACCAGAAACCTAAACCGAAACAGAACCAATAACACAGCCAAATACCTAACCAGAAAAGAAGCAGAAACAGAAACAAAAACAGAAAAAAAGAAATAGAAACAGAAACAGAACCAGAAACAGAAGGAGAAACCAGAAACAGAAACAGAATCATAAACAGAAACAGAACCCGAAACAGAAACAGACAGAAACATAAACAGAAACAAAAGCAAAAACAGAAATAGAAACAAAAACAGAAACATAACCAGAAACAGAACTAGAACCAGAAACAGAAACAGAAAAAGGAACAAAACCAGAACGAGAAACAGAGTCAAAAACAAAAAATGAAACAGACCAGAAACAAAAACAGAAATAGAAGCAGAAACGCAAACAGAATCAGAAACAGAAACAAGAATAAAAACAGAAACAGAAATAGAAACAGAAAAAAACCATAAACATAAACCGAAATATAACCAGAAACAGAGCGAAATACCTTACCAGAAACAAAATCATTAACAGAAACAGAAAAAAAACCTAAAACAAAAAGAAACAGAATTAGAAGCAGAAACAGAACGAGAAACCAGAAACAGAAGCAGAAACAGAAACAGAAACATAAACAAAAACAGAAACTGAAACAGAAATATAAACAGAAACTAAACCGGAACCAGAAACAGAACCAGAAACAGAAAAGAAAACAGAACCAGAAAAAGAAACAAGCCAGAAACAGAAACAGAAACAGAAACAAAAACAGGAACAAAAACAAAACACGAACAGAACGGAAACATAACCAGAAACAGAAAGAAAAACAGAAACAGAAAC